GTGCTCTCAAAATTGATCCCAATTTGAAGGGACTGGAGAAGGCTGTGAAGAAAAACTTAATGAAGTTTCAACTGAGGTAAGTACTTCATCTCTTAGAAAATGCAAAGCAAGAGCAGCAGGAGCAGGAGCTTCAGTTGTGCAAAGCTCGTGAAACAGGATCCTTGCCTAAAATGTTCTCATCAGTCGAGGAAAGGAATAGAATTTTGTTAAGCAGTGGTTGAGGAAGCCAGCAAATGAAGATCCAATTCATATTACCTTGTATAACAACATTCCTCTTCTATCTATAGCAGGCCATGGTGGTATTGGGAAGACTACCCTCTTACAGCATGTCTATGAAGATCTACATTGCTACTATAGATAGAAGAGAAACGTTGTTATAAAAAAACAATATATATTGCTACTTTGATAGTTAAAAGGCTTTCAGGACCTGCATTGGGACAGAAGTCAGCGGAGGTGTTCTGAATTAAAACTTGAACGAGAGTTATTGGACGAGCATTTTAAATGGTGAAATAGGAAGCAATTACACCATGCCCATCTTAAGATTGAGCTATACATTCCTCCCAAAACCTCTACAAAATTGTTTCGTATTTCGTAGTGTATTCCCACAAAATGAAAATTTTGATAAAGATGAATTAGCCCGAATGTGGATTGCAATGGGTTTCATTCAGCCGCCTTCTATTTCAGAACAGACAGTTGAAAATATCAGAGATTAGTATTTTGATATTTTGGTAAAAAAACATTTGTTTGACAAATTCGAAAATGAACGTGAAACATACTACAAGATTCATGATTTATCATTTAGTACATGAATTAGGGCAATCTGTTTTTGTTTTTGCAGAGGAATGTTTTAGATTTGTGGAGAATATAGAATTAACTTTTAAAATTCCTAAAACTATTCCGCAATTACATGTTGAACTACTAATGAGGATGTTCAGTATTCTTAACTGTCCTCCATGGAGAATTAACTTTTAAAATTCCTAAAACTATTCCGCACTTACATGTTGAAACCACTAATGAGGATGTCCAGTATTGTTACCTGTCCTCCATGGGGAAAAAATTTGCGTGTGTGCGTTAGACGTACGCAGCGCTGCATATGATATTGAGGTTATACCGAGGGTACAAGAGGGTTATATCCGCGGTATAACCCTTTATAACCTCACTGTAATACTCTGTAACCTACATGTAACCTACTAATAAATTCTTAATATATGATAACAGAAGCACGAAACTTATTTTAGATTACAGGTAGGTACAGGGAGGTTACAAGGGTTATACTGCGGGTATAACCCCCTTGTACCCTCGGTATAACCTCAATATCGTACGCAGCGCTGCGTACGTCTATCGCACGCAAATTTTTTCCCCTCCATGGAGTTCTGCCCAATCTGCTTTATTGCTCTCTCCTGTAGCGTCTCTTCACAGATCTAGGGATTCTGCGGCTCAAGCAGAAGGCATTATATTAATAAGTGATATATTGCATATTGCCTCTTTTACCCTTCTCTGTATTTACTAGTTTGCCACCAAATAAATGGACTTGTATTCTCTGTTATAATTAAGGCAGTACTGAAATAGAAAGATATTCATATACTTATCTTTCTTCTGGCCTGTTTCTCTGTTTTTCCTTTTCTTTCTTCTTCATTTACCGCCTGCTTCTATTCCTCTTTATGGTATCGGAGCCATCTAAACTCAACAGCAAGAATGGATTCCAATTTCTCCACATCCACACAAGAAGATAAACATTCTCTCCAAAAAATCAAAGAAATCAACATACCAAACTCCTCAAAATTCTTGATGTCTCACATCAAGAGCTTGGCTGCCACCCCACTCACGCAAGAAAATTATATGGTATGGGAGGCACAATTTTCGAAACCATTTTCTGCAAATGGGTATGAATCTATTTTAGACAGCAACTTGTTGATTCCTTCAAAACTTATTCAAGATGATAATAGAAATGAATTGAAAACCCAGATTACTTATTATGGCAACTCGTTGACAAAAACCTAGCAGCCGCAATCTTTTCCACCATCACTTCATCCATCCTACCACATATTCTTCATCTAAATCACACTTCTGAAATTTGGGAAAGCTTTGAAAGCTAATTTCAGTCCACAAATACAGCCTGTGTTATTCATCTTAAAAATGAACTCCATAATATAAACTTGGGATCCGACACAATGACCCAATACCTTACCACCATCAAAAACCTTGTGGACGATATTGCGGCTGTAGGGTCCAAGATTGACAAGAAGGACATAATTTTGTATACATTAAATGGGCTCCCAGCAAGTCACCAAGGCTTTAAAACAGTCATCAGAACAAAACTAAATCCTCTAAGAATAGAGGACTTCTATTTCCTTCTTTATAGTGAGGAATGTAATCAGCTTCGGTGGGGAAGGTACCAGCTTAAGAAAAAAAAAAAAAAAAAAAAAAAAAAAAAAAAAACCCAACATTTTGCCATGGTTTCTTTTAAAAGCAAAGGAGGATACCAAAGTTCAAGAAGCTATTTCAAAAATCCCACACAAAACAAAACCCCGTCAACACCAAACAAAACAATCCTACCAACATGACCAAACCAAGAACCAATCTCATATGTCAAATCTGCAACAAAATGGGTAGCCATTCTGCTCAAACATGTTGGCATAGAACCAGCCTCAACTACAAGACCTCATCAAATTCTTCTACTACTGCCCTCAACAATCAACTTCAAAGTTGCAACCAGGATTGGATCCTGGACACTGGAGCAACAGCGCATATAGCACCACACATTAACAATCTACAACAACCTACTCCCTTCACTAGACCGGATCAGGTTGCTGTTGCCAAAATGGTCAAACCACAGCAATCACTCAAGCGGGCAATAATATACTACCCGCTGATCAGGGGTATAGCACTTCACAGCATAAAGAGCTTAAGTATATGGTATCAACGTTTAGGGCATCCCCACAAGAAAGTGTTCAATAAAATAGCTCATACTCAACCGCAACTTAACATTTCTACTTTTGATGGAAAATGTACTGATTGTGTTGCAAATAAAAGTCATAAACTTTCGTTTTTTATAAGCATTACAACTAAATTTCATTTTTTATAAAAACTACAACTTACACACATTTTGAAATGCTTCATTCTGACATTTGGGGACCATTTCCCCATGCCTCCCTAGCAGGCCATAAATATAACATTACATTTATTGATGTTTTTTTTTCGCTTTTGTTGGTGTTTTCCACTTCAAAACAAATCTGAAACCACCACTAAATTCATATTTTGAGACAAAACGCTAAAAACTCACTTTCAAGCTAATTTTAAATATTTAAGAACAGATGGAGAAGGAGAATATACTTCTCATGCTCTAAACATCTATTTACAAGCAAATGACATTCAACATCAATATAACTGTGCATATACTCCATAACAAAACAGAATAGCAGAACGTACAAATAGACATTTAGTAAAAACTGCTAAAACTTCACTCTAATCTTCCTCTTCATTTTTGGATGGAAGCCATCCAAACTGCGAAATTACCATATCAATAGACTTCCATCCACTATTACGAACAATTTATCTTCATTTTAATAACTTGACAACATATCACCTGAATATCGTTGACTTTGCACATTTGGGTGCTTATGCTACCCATGCCAACCTCAGAATATCATTCATAAGTTCTCGCATAAAGGCTCTCCCTGCATATTTCTGGGCTACAGTTTACACCACAAAGGTTACAAATGTTTTGATATTCAAGCCAAATAAAATTTAATTTCTCGCCATGTTATCTTTGATGAACAAACTTTTCCCTGCAAACAATCCACACCTAATACCTCAACCCCACGTATCAGTCAGCCCACCTACACTCCCCCTCCTTTATTCCTACATCCACTCTTTCTCCCAAGTCACCACCCACTGCCTCCATACCAACGTCCTCTACTTAGTTCTCACAAGCTACACCATCTCCCTCAACCAGCCACAACACTCTCAACCACAATATCACACAGCCAACACATAGGCACCCCCCCCACAAATATATTCCTCTCCAACTGCTCCTTGGCCTACCACCATCAAACATCACCCAGTGGTTACCCGTCAACAATCAGGTAACTCAAAAACAAAAAAAGTCTTTGATCTTCAGCACACCATCACTTCTCCAGACACTCCCACCATCTATACTCAAGCCTCAAAATTCCCCACTGGAGAAAGGCCATGTTTAAGAAATTCATGGCCTTGCAAAAAAAAGGCACATGGGATCTTGTACCTCCCACCACTACTCAAAATATCCTAAGATGCGAATGGACCGATAGAATCAAACATCATGCTAATAGATCTATAGCCCGTTATAAGGCTAGACTTGTTGCCCTACGTTCTAAACAACAAGAAGGAAAAGAATATAATGAAAGTTTTAGCCAAGTCGCTACATTCCCCACTATTCATCTTCTCATTGCCCTTGCTACAACTGAACATTGGGAAATTCAACAACAGTTTCTCTGTTTTAACACCAAATGACACCACAAAATAACGGCTACGACCAGAGTCATCTGATCGGGTGGTTGCTGTCAAATGACACAATTATATTACGGTCATGTCCGCAGTCTGAATTCTCCCCAATGACTTTTTACTCTTTGAGTTGTGAATCATAAGTATAATTGATTGACACAGTTTTTCTTTAGCTAAGGTTGACTTAAATTTGTCTCCTTAGAAAATATACACCCCAGATTTATAAGGATTTATTGGACAATGCAACTTATGGCTATTGACAAGAATCCTTCTGTTAAATTGGGTCGACTACCTCTTTTGATTAAGTAAATCTGGGACCACGACGGTTCGACATGACGGAATCATGAGATCTTGATCAGATTTTGTCTACATATCCCCGCCATCCACTTTAAGCTCCAAGCGATGGATTTTATAATTTAAATTATTATGTCTGCTGCTATTATATGTTCAATTTGTAATTCTTAATGACCAATCTTAATCAAAGGTGTTCTCATATTATGGAGAGGGATAACTAACCACCGGGGCTTGCGTCTATGAAAAACCTCAAACCTCGGATCAAAAAATCCTTGCAAAATGAGGGTGAGATATCTGGGTAGTGTCTTATCTACTATCTCATTTGACTTTTAAAAATCTTACCCTCCAAGGCTCTCACACTAAACAAAACTAAAATAAATGTAGAGAGTTTCTCGAGGAGCGGTCAGAATTTTTGGAGCCCACAACTTAACTAAACTCTACCTCAAATTCAGCCCAAATTTACAGGAGTTGCCCTCCTTACCTCCTAAGCTCGAGAAGTTGCAAATAGATACCACTGAATGGCAAGCTTTTAATTGGCTTCAAAGAACTATCAACTGTCGCAACATTTTAGCTCAAAAATTGGCAATTTCAACAATCTCAAAGTAAAGACTAGTGAGAGCTGTGGGCTCGTATTCAGCTTAGTCAGTATAAAGGATCCATCCGTGTTGCTAATGGATCCATTGAAAAAGAAAAACCTGACAATTCAGAATAATGATGAGCTGGTTTCATTTCTTGGAGGAGCAGAGCAGTGGCTTCTGCAAGTTAGCTCATCCCATTGTGAGCTGAATTTATAAACCTCAAATCACTAAAGTCTCTCCCTTCCTCCTTGCCAAGCCTCTCTTCACTTGAGATTTACTTTGTGGGAAAAGGTTCCTCAGCATCATTTGCTGCCGAACATGCCTTCCTCTCTGGAAAGATTACACCTTGAAGAACTGTAATCGTTCCAGTGCTTGTGATCTTCTTTGTTGACCAACTCAACCCTCGAGCATCTATGGTTGAATAGAATTCTACCCATCAAATCATTACCAGACCTCCCTCCCTCGATGGGAGTTCTGCAAATCACAGACTGCCATACATAGTGGTTAGAGCGCTATGAAAACTCTTCAGGCAAGATAGAAAGAGAAATGAGCAATGTTGGCAATCACAAATTATCATTTTTATCTTTCCTACATTGTACTATACACAGATACACAAATACATACATAAATACATGTAGAGAGAGAGAGAGAGAGAGAGAGAGAGATTCTGAGTTTTGGTGAAATTCATGTAATTCCAAATGAAAACCTTCCCGGCAAAATGTGAGAACTTGTTATTTAGTTATATTCATGTTATGTGATGGATGTTTGGTCTAAGAAATTTCTCATTGTTGTCCGATTCAAAAACCATAAGTGTAATTAAGATTTTATCTTATTAGTTCGTCGATTAAATTACTGCTGGCATGGAATGGTAGATTGATAATTTTAAATTTTTTTAGATGAATTTCCCTAATTCTTACTCAAATTACATTTTTCTTTCTTACCCAATTATCTTACTCAGGCAACACTTTGCCAAAGACTTGAATAATCTGGGATTAACCAACGCTTATAGGTTAATTTTCTAGAGATATAATATATATAACTATATATATATATATATATATCTATATGTATACACAATTATTGACTTCTTAAAAGTGAAACACATCTTTTCATAGGTTTATGATACCAAAGTGATAAGTGTAAATATCAAACTTTAAGTGTAAAGACATGAGAATTGTGTTGTATGTAAGTTTCCCCCCAAAAAAATGAAATTTTTATCGAGGAAAAGAAAGGTAGTAATACATGGAAAAAACATGAATGACTCTATAAAAGAGCAACCGGCAAGAGTTGTTCAGTCAAAAGTTCACATTTTTATAAGGGAATATTTACACACATACCCCATAATTCTTATGTATTTACATATCTAATGCCTAAACTTGTTACTTATATTTATAATACTTTGATGTCATAAAGTTATACATGAAAATGTGCACTTAACTTTAAAAAAGTAGATGCCAGTGGGATATTTTGATGTGCAATTAATGATTTGAGTGCTATGCATGTAAATATTAAAGTTTGGGTGTCTGATAGGTAAATATATAAGAATTGTGTGGTATGTATGTAAATGCCCCTATAAAGGTGTTCTTTAAAGCAAAGGCAGGCTTTATAGTAATTGCAAATCGAACCAATTTCGCAAATCAAGTAATAGTCTTCAGCCGTTGAAAGTGAAGTTCATAAAAACTCTGAAAATTATTCTCAATGATTATGGAGCGAATTTTATTCATATCAAATTTATATTTCGATTCTATTTCATAAAAAAACCCAATTTACTTTGCAATTTTACTCATTTTACCTAATGATTTAGCCCTTATTGGATCCCTATCCTTGATTAACAGAGTATGATAGACCATACATGCGTTTTATCAAAATTATCAACATTTGCAAAATTGATGAATTGTAAAGTTAAATTTTATGCATCAAATGCTTTTCATGACAATTATCTCTCCTCATTAAAAATATGTTGCTTGAAGATGAGAATAGGTTATATGTATTAGACTAGAAAAAAAATTAAGAAGGGTAGTCTAAAGGTTGATAATTTGATGTTTGCCTAAACAATTACATGCTATTTTATAAAGAAAATGGTCACCAATTATAGTAAGGTGAGTGTGATCATTCGCATTACAATTTTTGAAGAAAATTATTATAATAGTTCTTGAAGAGGATTAAATATTGATCATAATAGGCTGATTCATGATATATATATATAATTTTGCATGGTTCATAGCCGTTCATGCTAACAACACAATCTAATAAAAAATATGATGCAAGTTACCCAACAGGTTGTAAGGACATATATGAATGACGACAATACATAAAACAGTTGCATGAGGTAGATATAACATTTGACAAGCCGGCAAATGATAAAAAATTATATTGATTATCAAAATTGGTAGAGATCATAGAAATTTTATCAATCATGTATGTGTATTAACTACGGGCTCCTAAAAATTTTCAAGCCCCCAGGACTCTACATTTGTTTGTTTGTATTGAGAGAGCTTTAAGGGTCAAAGCTTGTAGAAAGCAGATTGAATTATAGATAAGACACTACCCAAAGATTCACCCTCATTTTGCAAGGACTTTTTAATCTGGGGTTCGATGTCATTTAGAGTTGAATATTTAATATATAGTAGCACTGGACTTAGATTTTTAAGTCGTAAAATTTATCACTTAAGAGCATATAACAGATGAGGGGGAATATATAAAACAGTTGCAAAAGGTAGATATAACATTTCACAAGCCAGGAAAGGATAAAAAATTAAATGATTATCAAAATTAGTGGAAATCATATAAAATTTTATCAATCATGTATGTGTGATAACTATGGGCTTCAAAAATTTTGAAACCCCCTGGACTCTGCATTTGTTTGTTTGAGTCGAGAGAGCTTTAAAGATCAAAATTTTCAGAAAACATATTAGATTGTAGATAAGACACTACAAAAAAATTTCACCCTCATTTTGCAATGACTTTCTAATCTGGGGTTCGAGGTCTAACATAAGCGCAAACCCTTATGGTTAATTACCCATTCTGATTACAGGAGAACACTTTTAATTAAGGCTAGTCATTTAGGTTGATTATTTAACATATACCAACAGCAGAATTAGAGTTTTAAGTTGTAAAATTTATCACTTAATAGCTTCAAACTGATGATGAGGGAAATGTGATGAACACAACGAAGATCTCATGGCTCCGTCGTTCTAGTTCATCGGGATCCTTGTCCTACTTAATCCGAGGAGGTAGTTGACCTAACATGATTGAAAGATCCTTGTCAGCAACTATTGATTGCGTCGTTCAAAAAACCCTTGCAGATCTGAGGTAAGAATTTTACTAAGGTGATAAATTTAAGTCGACTTTAACTAACAAAAAATTTTGGGTCGATCAATTACACCCTTATGATTCACAATTCAAATTATATAAAGACGTTGGGGAATACGGGTTGTGATTATGACCATAATATAATGATGTCATTTGACTACAACCATCCGGTCAAAGGGTTTTAGTCTTAACCACTACTTTGTGGTGTCATTTGACTATAAAACCATGAGGAAAGAGAACCCAAGCAACGTCCTTATTGACGTGCAATTATTTTGATTGTGAATATATTGAAACTCTCGATGTGACATTAAATCTTCTGTATCTGAAATCAATCAAAAGTTTGTTACTCTTGACAAACTATTACGGAGGGTGGATATGATTTTCTTAAACAAATATGGTTTTGGAGATGGTTTATTTTCATAAATTCACACAAAATTCTCAAATAAATGATTGTTTTCAGAAATATATAGTCATCAACATAATCAATTCCACAATTGAAAGCCATCACAAGTCAAGTGATGCTCTCCAGTACTATAGTGCTAAAACAAGCAGACAAGCTGAATAAATGTCAAATAAAAAATTAGATTACCGGATCCCACAAGACTTTAAGAAATAAAATATACATATATATAACAACTGACCTGTAATTGCACGACCAGCATATAATAGGGTGATTGTTTATAATAGAAACCAATTTCAAGAAAGATTGGTGAGTACTGATCTGGGAGCCTCTGATTCAATGGACTGGCCTCCTTTTAGGTACCGGAATGTAACAAATGATCCTCAAGTAGTAAAGTTCCAAGGCTGCCGTTGTACACCATCTACATCCAAAAGTAAAAAAACTCTCCATCTTATAGGAATACACTCACAATTGTCTGATAGATTAAATGATGGTCTTACCAAGCATATAAAAATCTTCTATGACTTGGGCAAAACTGCTCGAGAACATAAAAAACATCATAGTGAAACATGGATTTCTCCATCACACCCATCATCTAGAAAACGATTTTCCATGAATTGGATACAGGAAGGGGTCAACCTCAATATGAAATATTAAAATTTTCTGAAGAATTTTGAAGCAAGCAGCTTCTTATTTTACTTCCAGCTGCCGGTACTTCATCCTAATCTCATTATGTGTTGCAGCAACTAAAACACATGCCAATATCAAGATAGTAATCAATATTACAAATAAGCTTATCTTAAGTAAACACTAAAAAAAATCTATCGATATCCATCAAAAAATGATTCATAATTGGTATAATAGATGCCTATGCCTACCAAAGGCCTTCCTCTGTACAGACCGATACAATGTCCTCTCCATTAGTATTTGCAAGCATATAAACCACACCATTGTCTTCCAAAGTTCATCCTAGCATTCAGGGTCACTACTAATTTTCCATTTCCATCTCCTCCAAGGTCAACCAAAGTGATTTGAAAGTTCAAACACAGGCCAAATGACATCCCCATCTAATACAGATGTAGCTCTGAACCAAAAGCACTAATCCTGGGGATTACAGAGCCAATGCAAGCCATCCAACAAATCAGAATACACTTTCCGATCCATAGCGCTATTATTACTCCCAAGCTCTTCCAAAAGTTTGAAGGCTTCCTCCGTTTGCCCTCCCCTGCACATCCCCTCCAAAATGGTCCTATATGTCAAAATGTCTGGCCTCAATGAATTCTCCAACATATCAAACAAAACCCTTATACTCTCCTCAAACCTCCCCACCATAGCTAAGCTGCAAATCAAAACCATGTAGACGCTACTCGTTGGCACAAAACCTTTATCCCTCATTTCATTAAAAGACCCAAATCCGCGATCAACCAAACCCTTCTCACAAAAGCCCTTGGTAATATACCCATAAGTGTATTCATTAGGCTCACATTCATAAAGCTCCATCTCCCGAAAAACGCGCATTGCTTCATCCATATCCAAGCAAATGGAGTAAGCCTTGATGATGATATTAAGGGTGTAGGTGTCCGGAATTACTCCGGAAGCCTTCATCTGCCGCACCAGAGAACGGACAGAACGGAGATAGATGTAGCAAATAGGGGGCTTACCAAAACGATTGACAAGAACTGCGAGGAGAAGGGAGAATGTCTCCAGAGAGGGGCGACAGGCGGCGGAGCGCAGCATGAGCCTGTAAAGTTCAAATGCACGGGAGAAGAGGCGGCGTTGGGAGCAGCAGAAACGGATGGCGTAGTTGAGGAGGGGGAGATCAGGAGGGCAGACACCAGAGAGGACGTCGGAAATCAGGGATTCGGCGGTGGAGAAGCGGCGGGAGGTAACGGAAATGTGGAGCATGGTGTGGTAGGTTGAGGGCGAGTGGCGGTAACCGGGCTGGAGGGCAGTCCAGCGGAAGATGTCGAGGGCGAGATCGGGGTCTGATTGGTCGCGGAGGGCGGCGTCGACGTCAGCGGAGGTGAAACCAGGGCTGAGACGGGATACCCAGGTCTCGAACTGCCTCTCGAGGGGAGTAAGAGACCTGGTTCGGGGTTTAGGATTATGGTCATGGAAAGGACAGGTTGAGAGGGCACGGAAGTGAGAGAGAAGGAGAATGGAGATGGTGCTCTGGTGCTGGAGAAGGAAGGGTTTCGTTTTGGAGAGCAAGCGAGGAATGCGGACGATCATCCCGGATTCTATGCACAGCACAGCGAGAGAGACTTCACTGAAGAAGAAAATAATTCATTAGGACTCTTAAAGTGATTTGAGTTCGGAGTTTAATGGTGGAGTGTCACATGTCAAGTGTGCTCCACCGTAATACACTAGTATTTATCAGTATTAAAAATAGTGGAGTTTGAAGTGATTTGAGTTCGGAGTTTAATGGTGGAGTGTCACATGTCAAGTGTGCTCCACCGTAATACACTAGTATTTATCAGTATTAAAAACAGTGGAGTTTGCTTGACACGTGACGCCCCATTATTGAACTCCGAATGCATTACAAGTTTTGATGTAATATTTTCTCTCTTCAGGGAAGTAAATATTGAGTCCATATCAGATATTAGACGCGATGCACCCGATTTTTTTTTTATCTTTTATTCCCTTCTTAGGGGACTGTTTGGTAGCTGGTTTTAAACAAAATTTATGCTTTGGCCTCTCAATACATCTTGTTCCTCCACAGTTCATTTTCAGTTTATCACGAAATTCGTGTTCGATTCATTCGCTAATTTAATGAGTCAAACGTAAATAATTTTTTTTGCGCTTGGTATATAAATAAGTCGAACACAAACAAAGATTTGTTCGTTCATGTCCGACTCATTTTGACTCAAAATAATTAAAACTTATATAATACACAGACACACACACACACAAGTCTTATGCAGTGTAATTTAAAAAAAAAAACCATTAAACTGCATCCATATACTCTATACACCTTTTCACAACACATTTCAAGAAAGAAATATATTTATTTCAATGAAAATGATTAAAGTTTTATTGCATATCAAATATGACACCCCAATAATGAAAAAAGAAGATTTACATAAATTCCACTCAATTTTTATATATTTACATGCATGCCCAACATCTAAAATAAAGTTTTTACATATATGCCACCTTACTTATGCATGCATTAAAAAGTGCATTTCATTTTTTTTAAAATTAAAATAATAATAGTATTTTTGAAGTGCTATTAAAGATTTGAGTGGCATAAACTTCGAAAAAAAAATTTAGAAGTTAAATATATAAATACATAGGAACTAGGTGGTATTTATGTAAACACCCAAAAAAATTATGCATTATTTCAGTAAAATTCAAATTATATCCACCCATAGAAATTAATTTGCTAAGTTAAATACAACATTGTTTCATGATTTCATGATAGATATAAAGAATGTAGCACCATTATGTTACCTTTAATTCATTAAGGCCATTAGAAACCTACTAATATTCCACTTTTGACCCACTTGAGTGATGATGTCCAAACACTTAGCGGCCATTATGATCTATTGATGGACCCCAATTATTAGCAACTTCATGGTGATTGCTTAGGTAAGTTCCTTTACACAAATAATGGCCTCATCTTTCATTGAGAGCCATCGGATCAAAAGATCAAACGGCTAGGAGCATCTCACTAGAAATTCATAAAGAAACCCTGCTTCATTCAAGGAGATTCTATATGAGAGAAGTATGAGAGCCAAAGAATTCCAATACTATACTTGCCAACACAGAACAACATCCAAAATAGACGTTTATCTTTTTTGAAAGTTGACCAACGCTCTCTGTTGCTTAATGTCAACTAATGATGATGCCGCCCTCTGTCGAGATTTGTCATCAATTGTAGTCGCCAAACATTTGATATCCAATGTTGCCCAACAAAAATTTTTATCATTGCCTCATACTAATGTCTCACGTACGTTTTGTAAACGACGACTAACATCTATCAGACAATGACATTCAACGCCCGCCTCATTAGTTAAGAGTCTCTCGTTCTAACATCAATTGAAACGATTGCTCGTCATCACTGGATAAGAATTGGAACACCTTAGAGCTTCTCTTATTTTGACCTTGGAAGTGTTTGTTTTTCATAGTTATGCTTATTACATTGTATTTGTTATTTTTTTCATATATAAAAAATGCTATTATTTGTTATACAACTCACACGGTGAAATCATGTCAATTGGTCATGCCTCGTGATTCTTTCCTCCCCATGTGTATCAATTAAAAATTACAACTCCCATGAACTACTCTCAATCTATTTATGCACGTGTGGTTAATTTATAAATATTAATATTTTGGGTGATCTGTTTATATACTAAGCTAAATAAATAGAAAATATATTGTGACTTCGAGTGACCAATTTAAATATAAAGAAGACGTAGACATGTTGGATAGAGTCGTCGAGTTAGCTTAGGGTCTGTCTACTTCGTGTTTCAGACCGTCAACACAATTCTATTTGGGGAGCTATTTTCTTATTGTTTTCTAGAAATTCATGTTATGTGATGTTTGATTTTTTCAACTAACTTGTTAATGTGCATTAGCTGTAAGAAAATCAACAAAATATATATAATATATATATATATATATATATATATACATTTATAATTCACAAGACAATTTTCTAATAAATTATTTTTTCCACCATAACTTTACGGCTATTTTTTAGAAAGCTACAATCGCCCCAAAAAATCCTTAGTAAGTATTTGATAACAAATAAAGGTTCTCTAAAGAGTAATTATTAGCATTTACACTTAGTTGAGTATACTAAAATGAGTACGGGCTTAAAAATATTCTAATAAATTAACCATAGTTTGCACTAAAAATACAATACATCAATAAGATAATATAGTTAAACTCACTTTTTAGCTAGAACAATTATAAATCCTACATGATGCACTAGATGAAATATAAGCAATGCATTGATCTTAAGATATGATACTTTGAACAAGCTAAAATTTCATCAATAGGTTCAAATCTTTGTTTGACTTATATGAACTACAACAAAAGTCATTGCATGAATCACTAAAAATTTTCATGAACTTGAGCACTCAACTTGTTAACCCATCATTAGGTCACCATAAAATCAACTTAAAATCACTGAGGATCACCGTTTCATGCTTCTTTTAGCAATGCTTATATTTTGGGTTCTAAGAAAATCAATCCAGCCCAACCCAACATTTATATTGGAGTTAACCCGAAAGACAACAGAACTTGTGTTCAAAAAAATCACAAAAGATTCTTAAAATAGGAATAAAATAGCACAAATCATAAATAAGCCCCTAGGGTGAGGACGAAAAGCAGTGAACTTGACTGTATAGCTGGTGGAAGGTGGTTTAGGAGGCTGCGATAACAATTATGGTTGCTAGACGGGGTGGCGGCAGTAGCTTGGAGTTGCAGGAAAGGCTGGTGGCGGCAGTGGGGGCACCGAAAGGGTGGACAATATTAGCTTGGGTTTATAAGGGGTTGGCGGTTGCAAGTTGGAGTTTAGACTGGGCTGGCAGCTGCAGGTTGGGGTGCAAGAGAGGTTGGAGGCAACAAGTTGAGGTGTAGGAAGGGGCGGTTGGCTGCAAGAACAAGAAAGGATAGGTGCAGGAACGTTGGTAGGAAGTCGGGGAGGAGAATAGGCTAAGGATTATGTGGAGATAGTTACCACTTTAGAGCAGGATACAGTCGGAGTACAACCTGCCCTCAAATACAGCCCTAACTAGAGAGAAACGTTGGTATGAAGAGTTCTGAAAACAAGAAAAACTAAACCCTAAATAGAAAAAATAAAATATTTATAATAAAAGATAACTAGGAGGGGGAAACCCCTCTCTCCTTGGATGGAAATCCAAATTTAAATAGCATCGGTCGGATCAGCCCCCTAGTTAGACCGGCAACCTTCTTGTTGAACTAGTTGGGCTAGTTCAGCCCCTAGCCCCCGTTTCAAACCCAACCCACCCACTTCCAACCCTACCTAAAAATTTAAATTTCCTTCACCAATGTTTTGTTGTTGGAGCTTATGTCACTTGCTTTATATTTATCATAGAAGAAAGAAAGTTTGCAATATTGTAAGGTTTGAAGCATAAGTGATGGTCTGCACTAAGATGAAATATTAGGTGCAGACATCCGTAGGTGCAGACAACGGCGTGGATTGGACGGCGTGGTCCAATCCACGCTCCTGCACTGATACGAGAGCCCAACCTTCAAAGTAAAACAATATAATAACAAGTTTTTAAATGATTCTACTAAAATCTTATAGATAAGTGCGGTTCCGTCTCATGCATCATAAGTACAAATTCAATTAATTAATTATGATTAATTCTCCACTTTACATGACAGAAAATAAAATATAAGGCATGGATAATTTTTTCTAAATTTTCTTCTTATGCATGTTGTGCCTTTACCTAAACTATGCTCAATCAAGAGGGAAAAAAATATCAACCTTAGTGGAGGAATAATATAATCTAATTTAAATCATCAAAGGTACTGTTTATCAATTTGATAGGGGGATAAAATTTTATCATTCAACCAGATGTGTATGGCAAGGCAAGAGATTGGTTCAGGGGCCCTTGGTTTTCTTTAAGATTAGTGAAAAAATATATATTTTTTTTGCTTTCATGAATTTTTACTTTGTTTTTTTTTCTATGCACCAGAGTATGCTTTTGGCTATCACCTGGATAAGAGTTTGGTTTAGAAGGATCCAAAATTAGGTATGTTGGCTGACCATGTCATTATTTATAAATGAAAATTTTATATTTTACAAATGGAAATTTTATTTTTCATTTATTAGGAGTGAGAATATAAAATCACATAAAAAAGTTTTTTTTTAGAGTTTGAAACCAATTAAATTTACATATTTCATCAATTTTTTTTTAATCAATACAAGCAGCTCTCAAGTATCAGCATGGCAAATTAAGGTTAGACATGAACAGCTAATCCTATCAAAATTCAAAATTGAAAATTTGTGCTCAAACCACCCAATTCCCATGTATTTACAAATCTAACCCTTAAACTTTGTTCTTAACGTTTCTACCGCCCCAATATTTCATATCACATAAAAATATTACTATTTCAAGTTTTAAAAATTGAAATAGATCTTTTCATGTATAGGTAAGATGGCATATATATAAATATGTGTGTGCGTAAAGTTGAAGTTTTGGCCTTAGATATGTAAATATGCAGGAAATGAATGGTATGTATGTAAATCTTCCTTAATAAAAAAAGGTTTATCTACAACAGGCCACTTTATCAAAAGTCAGAAGGTTGAAAAGATTACCATTTTGTTTCCCTACGTGGATCATTTTTGCTATAAAAAAGTTGACACCTTTAAAGAAGTTCGGTCATCACCACTAATTCCTCCTTAAATCTCTAAATTAATAGCAGTAGTAAACTTCCTCCAGTTATAAAAATCCAACCGTTGAACCTAAAATTCAAAAATCCAGAACACCAACAAGCCAGGATGTCGCAGAAGGCAATAACGAACAACAATAAAGAAGAATCAGGAAAGCTAGAATGGAGAATCACAGTACCTCATAAGCCATCAGCACAGGTAGCAGAGCCAGAATTGACTGATAAGCTAAGCTCGAGTATACAATCATCGTCGAGATTCCTGAAAAATGCATGGAAAATGGGGGCCGACGATCCTCGAAAACTCGTTCACTGCATCAAGGTTGGCGTCGCCCTCACCCTTGTCTCCATCTTCTACTATTCAAGGCCATTGTACCAAGGTGTTGGAGGAACTGCCATGTGGGCAATCATGACCATCGTTGTCATCTTTGAATTCACAGTTGGTAAGTTTTTGAATGATTATATATAAAGTAAAGTGTCACTACATTCTTGACTATTTACATCATTCTAGTCCCAGAGTCTATAACTGTTTTAAAATGAGCTAAAATATGCCCCCTTATAAAACAAGTCTACGGAGAAATTTGACAATTTTATAAACTCTGAGACTAAAATGATTACCAAGAGTTAGCGGACCGTTTTTGACCCTTTTGTCATTATATATGTTGGAATATGCATTCTAAGTATCTTACCCTTCTCATAATTTGTTGCAGGAGGCACACTCTACAAAGGGTTGAACAGAGTAATGGCGACTCTTAGTGCAGGAATGGTTGCAATAGGCATCCACTGGCTCGCAAGCAAATCAACCAAAACATCCGAGCATATAATCGTCGGCGCCTCGGCCTTCATTATTTGTATGTAAATCTATGAAGTAGAGACATAATTTGGAGATTACTAAGAGCCTCTTTGGGATCAATCATAACACGCAATTCTTATGTATTTACATATCCAACACCTAAAGCTTCATATTTGCAATATATCACTTAAATCTTTAGCATAGCATCAAAATATCATCATCACTATCTTTTTAAAAGTGAAATACACATTTTAATTCATTGGTTTATGCATCAAGGTATTGTAAGTGTAAATATCAAACTTTGGGAGTTAGATATATACATACAAAAGAATTGTATGGTATGTATGTAAACTACCCTTTGTTTTTGATTTTTTTTCTTATTTTTTTCCTTTTGTTTTTAGGAACGTTTTTGTTTAGTATATTATCTTACATAATTTATTTCTTGTTTCTAAATTAAAATTAATAACATCAAGGTGTTTTAAGTGTTTTCAAAAAGGGCATTTACATACATACCATCCAATTCTAATATATTTACATATCTAAAACCTAAATTTTGCATTTTACATTTGTACCACCCAAAACTTTTCATATCACATCAGAAATGCCACTATTTTAACATTTAAAAACTGAAATACACCCTTTCTCACAAGGGTAAGAAGATATTTACCTAACAGTCGAGGTATTACATATGTAAATGCATAACAACTGAGTGGCATAAATGTAATTTTTCTTAAAAGCAACCATACCTGAGAAAATTAAACAAAACAAAAGAAAAAATTAAAAACAAGTATTAAAAGATTAAAAAAAAGTTATCTCAAAGGGCCCCAAGCTCTAAGACAGTACCAATGATCTTATGCTTTGAACTCACCTTTTTTTGCAGCTTCAGTAGCAACCTTTGTTCGTTTTGTTCCTGCCGTAAAAGCTCGGTTCGATTACGGCATGTTGATCTTTATCCTAACCTTCAACTTCATTGCCGTGTCTGGCTACCGTGTTGAAAGACTGCTCGAACTGGCACAGGAACGGCTGGCAACTGTAGCCATTGGAATCTCAATCTGTCTTCTGGTCTGCATTTTGGTTTGTCCGGTTTGGGCTGGGGAGGAGCTTCACCAGCTCATGATACAAAACATGAGAAAACTTGCTGATTCATTAGAGGGTATTATATAATAATTCATTTTTTCTCTTGATTTATGTAAGAAAAAATGATATAATTAACATATTATCGCTGAAGCATCACAACATGAAATTACAGAAAGTGTGGCAGAGTACTTCAGGGAAGGTGACAAGGGGAATGGCAATGAAGTTTCTATGCAGAATTCTAGAGGGTACAAATGTGTTCTTAACTCAAAGGCAACTGAAGAAACACTGGTAAAATGCTGATAAACAACTCGTATTATTTAATTAGAGAAAATAATCAAAATGGTTTCCCCATCACTTGTAGGTGATCATTTCAATCCCAGACCACATAAAAGATCTGATTTTGTAATTGGACTTTTAAAATAGGAGCCACAATGATATTGTTAAAAGAAATAGAAAAAAGATTAATGGATTAAAATATTGGTATTTTAAAATATTATATCTTAATTTTTTTTGAAAAAAATCTAATTTCTTGCTTATCTTGTTTGGGATGTAATATATGGATGAAATTAATACACACTAAATTCATAAATTTCAGTCATTATTGTTGCTACATTTTCTACAAAATATTCCAAACTAAAAAGTATGTTCATTTACTGGACTTTGCAAAAAAGTTAAAAATTTAAATTCCTAGAATACAATTATTTGTAACCCCATCTATCAACTTTAACATCAATTTCCACTACTTGCACTAGTGACACAATTTTGACTTCAATTTTAAGAGTCCAGGGAAATATTTTATACAATTTGGCAACAGTTAGGAGACCAATTCAGTTCTTTTCTTAATCTAATTATGCTTAAATTTAGAACTCAGTTTCATCACCCCTTCTCAAATTTGTGATTATTGTGTTTGGAATCACAGGCAAACTTAGCTAAATGGGAACCAGTGCATGGCAGATTTAGCTACCAGTACCCATGGGGCCAATACCTAAGAGTTGGCACAGCAATGCGCCACTGCGCTTACTGCATAGAGACACTAAATGCTTGTATTATTTCAGAAAACCAGGTATCAAAACATGATTTAATCACTCATAAATTAAACTTTGATTCGTTAACCAAAGTATTTTGTTTTACAGAATCAACAGCTAGCACCGGATCATTTAAAGAAGCATATAAGCCATGCCTGCCTAAAGCTAGGATTGGAATCCTCTAATGTTTTAAGAGAACTGGCTAGCTCCATTGAGTCCATGAAGAGGTCTGCCAACATTGAGGTTCTGATAGAACAGATGAATGATGCTGCGGAGAAGATGCAAAGTATCTTAAGTACTCCCCCGCCGGAAGATGTGGAGCCAAAAGCAGCTGTATCAACTGTTCCGCTCATGGAAGTGATGACGGAAATCACGGTGGCCTCGTTGCTCAATGAAATAGCATTGAGAATTGAAGGAGTTGCGGACATGGTTGAGGACTTGGCAGAGATGGCATCGTTCCAGTCATTTGAAGATGAACGGCGAACCAATAAGCTTACTGCTGGATTGAACGGGCAGGAAAGCGACATTCTACGAGTTTAAGTTTGTAGAGTTTTGTGCGAAATGAATTGTTTGGTGACTCAGTGATGATTCTGTATGCAGTATGTTTCTCAACATTCATTTTGGTGAAGAGTTATATGTACAATACATGGTTTGGTTGGTTGTTATATCTGTTTCAAATTAAGATAGATCTTGTTGCTCTATGCTATTTCCTATAAGCTAGTGATACAAATGTGACGATTTATGGTAGAAATCCAAAAATATTTGTGCTGAAATGATAACATGGAAATTTGAACTATGATAAGTTTCACCTTTTACTTTGTATTTTGCCTTTTTCTTTTAGTGGTACTAAAGTCAGTTGAATGCTGGTTTCTGTCTAATTATTGAGTCAGCTATTTGGGGGCTTTTTGTAACTTCCAAGGCTGATCCTAGGGATACTATTGGCAAGGTCTCTTCTGCAGTTGTCAGTGGATGGATGCAATTCTAAGGCTTTTGCATTTTTTTTTTTATAAAAGTTTAAGGCTATTTTAGTGGCCTCTACCATTTTTTTATCATTATAAAGGCAAGTTAATCAGTGATTCAAGCCGAACAAAATGAAAAGAGGAGAAATCTGATTTTATATTCCCCAAAATAGTCATAACTTAATCATAATTGGATAAACTTATTTATTTATTTTCCTAGGAAATTATGTAGAGAATTCCTTTTTTTTTGGATCAACTTATCATCCCTTTTGATTGTAGTTACTTGTTTAAAATCCGTTATGAACGATATCGATTTGAATAAGGTTGAAATCATATCCTAAGAAATTCGAATTTTGTCTGAAAAAGCTGCAAACAATGATTTAATAAGATTTGAATCTCATCCGAACAAGGTTCAATAGGAATCGAATAGGATTCAAACTGAGTTTACTTATAAAAGACAATAGCATAATGCATAGACTATATGATTTATATAATAGAGTGGAATTACAATATATATAATGCAACATATTATAAGATGTATATAAGACTGCAGTCCATGAGTTATAACATAACAAATAGCTACAAGATAATAAATTATAAAATAAGCACACCAAATTGTAAACCAATCAGCTACAACACATCAAAATGATAAGCATTATTTCATTTCATAAATACTCATGCACCTGATGCACGCTCGGCCTTCTAAATAACTCGGTTACAGATTCTCACTGCACATTAACAACTACTACATTTTATCACATCCTGTAACCCCTTTGAAGACCTTCTATTTTTTTGGATAACTACTCTTTGGTTTCACCTATGAGCTAACATGATAACATCATTAATTTCATATAAAATCTCCAATTGTTTCATTATTAACTGGATATAAATATATTTTCAACATATATAACTAAGCCTACTACATATAAAATTTTGAATATGAATTATAATAGCTGACACCCTGAAATTATGCTACAGCCAAGGCATATTCATGTAGGAGACTTATAATATCAAATTTTGTTCATGCATATAACTTAATTGTTAAGATCACCTGACTTTGTCACGCTGAGTTAAAAGTTATTTTTTTCGGGAAAAAAATGCGATGTCCTCTTTAACTCTACTCATAAAAAGTTGCTTAGCTTTCAAATTATCTGTGGCTAAGCTCTAGCACGAGGACATAATACCAGTCTCTATTGAATTAGAGACATTTTTATGCTCTAACCCATATAGGACATGAATTATGCATATAATCTTTAGGTTTTGAATTGTTGCTATTAATTCTAAGGTACATGAAAAATTAAAAGACTACCTGTTTACTAGGTTTATGCAGATAAATAATCAATGGTTGTATTCTCCAATAGATTTTTAGGATTAAAGCACTTATGAAGCCATCATTCTCTACAGCTTGTTTGTCTATATCATCACCTATTTTTCATGTGGTATATTCATGTTACCATGTACACTAGTTGAAGATGGTAAAATATGTAATCTTAGAACATGTTCATTTGGACAAAAATTTGGTGCTAAAATCTTTTTGAGAGCAATGGATGCTTAGTAAATTGTTGTTGGATGGATATAAAAATCTCATTGAAGAAATAGATAGAATACTAATTTTTATTAGTTCAGCTGGAGGAATTGAAATTATGGATTTTGTTTCACAAAGTAGTACATAATTTCCAATTTCAGATTAAATTAGTTCTTATGAATTTTTATCACTCTGTATACAAATTTTATGAGATTTTTTGGATAAATATTTTTTTCTGACATCAATATTTTGCTTTTTTTTTGTAATGCTTAACTGATTCTTGTGCTCTTTCATGCAATACATGAAAGTTGATAAACCATTAAAAAATAACTGGCAAGCATAAAACTTGATCGTTGCTAGAGCATGTGTTCGAAAAATGCTTGACTCATGATCGAACATTATTTGAGCCTTGATCGAACATGATTTGAGCCAAATTCAAACTTGAGCATCGAACCATGTTTAAATATGGTTCGAGACATATTTGAACCTCTTTAAGCCATTTTTTTATTGTATTTTGAAGATAGGTTTTAACAAGCTTTCAATACTTCTATATTCTAATTCTGCATTAGAGTTTCATTAAATGATCTAATTTATATCGTGCAACAACAAAAATTCAATAGAGGTCATACTTATATCTAAAAGTCATTTATAAAATGTTTTCCACCTTTTTTTAATGTAGTTTCATCCGTGTTGGCTTGGCTCGTGGAACAAATAAATCTTGAATGAAAGGAGGATGACATCAATTGAGAAAGTTAATGTGGATGAGAAATATTTTATTCTGTTTAGAAAAGGATTTAAGATAAGAATGATATTTTATTTCTAAATGTATTTTAAGCATATTTCGTCAATAAAAATAAAACAATAATTTTCTCAAAGTGATTTTAAAAGAGTAAGGTCATTTTAGATCAATTTTATTGTTTTTATTATTTTATTTTATTTATATTCTACTTTGAAATAAAAAATATTTATTAATGATGGTTGTTTTTAAAAATACTCAAAACATATAAATGTTTATTTTGAGTATTTTTAAAAATAAATTTATTTATTTTTAAGAAAATAGAAATATAATGCATACAAAATATCCCAAACAAACACTCTCTTAAAAATAAAAGCAAAAACAATAACAAAAAAAAAGGTCCCAAATAAACCCCAAGGAAATTATAGTAAGAAAAAAGCACACGTCTAGTGCTTGAGGCATATGCAAATTCTAATTATGTTGGGTCAAACATGGATAAAAGAGCAACTTCTTGGTATTGCACTTTTGTAGTGAAAAACATGTAACATTGAGGAGCAAGTAAAATGCAGAGCAAGATCAATAGCTAAAACGAAAGTTTTGAGCAATTGCATAAGGCCTTTGTTGACTGTAGTGGATGAAAATTATCTTAGAGGAAGTAGACATTCAATGAAATGGTCTAATAAATTTTTATACAACGAGATTTTCAATCAACATAGCTTATCATCTAGTGCAACATGACCCAATCATATAGAGGCCAACTAATGATTCATTAAAGAAAAGTAAGATAAAGACATGATTTACATATCCTATGTACCTACCGATCAAATGATTGCAAATGTGCTCATTAAAAAAATACATAGACGATCATTTCAAACAATGATATCTAATTTTGAATGGGAGCCATCTATTCACTATTTGAAATGGCTCGAGTACTTAAAGCAATGGTCTTAGACTTTTTTTTGGCAATAATAAGCAGTTTGAGATCTAAATCAAATTTTATATATTTAATTATGAAAGATATTATGTATATTTAGCTAGAAATGATATTTTTGGTCTCTTAAATCATAGGTTATAAAGCTGGAGGGTATTATATATTTTTTACTTGTACTAGTTTTCCTTTTTCTCTTTCTAGAATATTATATATGTTGAATTTAGATTTGTTTGTGGGGTTATGCCTAAATCTTACTACTATTAAAAAAAAGAAAAGAATTTTGTGTGACATGTGCAATCAAGAAATGTGACAAATCACAAAACTCCTGCAATTCGAGGGGACGGGCAGATGATTGCGGGAGGGAAGAAAAAGGAAGTTCATATGGTTTGAATCTTACACCCTATTTATAGGCCGATTTAATGCCTTGAGCGTTGCAGTAAAAGCTACATAATAAGCAATACATTGATAATTTTATAGTGAATGTTATATAATAGATAATATATTAATGACAAATACATGACGTCAAATGCATAGCCTAGTTAAGTATATATCCAAATAAAACTTGGACTAGGACAGTGGAGAACTTAGTTCGTGGTATTCAGCCCTCAGAACTCGGTCCCCCTTGAGATTTGGCCATTAATATCCAGCCTTTGGAAGTTTGCTTTTGAAACTCAACAGGTCAACTCGACAGTCCCAACGGGCAAGCATACTCAACAAGGCAACTCCCCAGACCGTGCAGAAAATTAAATTAAAAGAGGCATTATCTGCTTGCATTGCCTACGACATACTAACATCAGCTCACAAAAGAACAAGATCAGCCCTTTATGCATTATTTATCGTCATGCATTCAGCTTTACAAAGTAAGTTTTTGTGCGTATGATGCAAATTACATTGTTGGCATATATTTTGTAAGAGCGCTAGTGGTGAGCTCAAAAAAGGTGGCGCGCTACAGGTGGGTTGTAGAGAAAGAAGTGCTATAAACAAAAACAAGTTGCAGAAAGAGTATAAGGCAAAACTTGAGTAAATAAACGAGCTTAATATTTCAGCAAATAATTTTTTAAGTGCTGTGAAACAAAACTGAAATAAACTGATGGAACCCTATATCTTTGAATAGTATGATAAGAAAGAAAGATGACGCCATTCCTATAATGTACTGTATAATAAACCATTAAAATGAGTTCTTACCTTTATTGCAGGTTTGTCTTCCAAACAGGTCCTGTTAGTTGCTAACCCAAGGGTTTAGGCTTTTCATTTGCAAATGTGAAGAATTTTGCAGCTAGAAGTAAAAATTAAACCTGTTGATGCATTCAAGAGTATTGCAGGCTCAAATAAATAAAAAATCTGCAATGAATAAAACCATTCCTTCATGGAAAGATAAAACAATGATTTAAGCAATTCCAGCCCCAAGGGCTAATCACTCCTCTAGGGAGATGCTATTTATCTTATTTAGATTATTATTAGGGTTAATTTTGCTTTGGGACATATAAATATGTTATTAATTCCTCGTTTTGGGAATTTTGATATTTAAATGCAATAGAGACTAATCTCTCAGATTTCTTGCGTCAGGAATGTTGTTCCATTTTTTTTTTTTTTTTTTTTTTTCATTTGGTGTGTATGTAGCTTAATAGAACAGGTGGTCCTCCTTAGAGTGCCATGCTGAATGATCACCGATTGAAATTCTCCTGCTGTTCTCACCCAGGAAAGCCGCCATTAATGACATTCCTTGTTGCTTTCATCCCGGACAGCAGCCGTTGAAGCTCTTACCCAGACTATACCAGACACTGGCTTTGCTTCTTCACTGCTTTACGTCACAAAATAGCAATTATCACCTTATTTCCTACCCAAATCCTATTATAGCTCTGACTTTTTATCTTTACACACCATCTAAGAAATCTGGATTGGTGTAAATCAAATCACTTATCAGGGCAAAGAAGTCTTCCCCTTAATCAAACAAATGCCACAAAACCAAACATACTCTACTGCACAAGGTGAGCACTTCCACAAACATCTATTTCTACAAACTAAGCAAAAACATCACAAAGTTATAGAAAACACATTTCCAATGTGTTCCAAATATTTATTGTTTGAGGAAGAACCAACAAGTAAATTTATGCAATCATTAACAAAGATGATTGCAAAGTTACATTGAAAAATAAGCAAAAAAAGGCAGGTTAAAGAGATTGAGATTGAGAGAGACGGAGAGAGAGAACAAGAGGACTGAAGGAGACTTTCTTTGTTGATTAACATTTTAATGCTTCTCCAAATGATCTAATCATTGAACACAAAGCATATCATTTTCAAATTAACTATAGTCTATAGTGTCATAGTGTCATGACAGGTATTTAGGCATTCAAATACATGCAAAAATACCACAGATCCATTGCCTAAAATATTATATAAAACCAACTAGCCATTAGGTACGATACCTAGAAAATTTTTGGAATATGGACCACCAGAACTAGGGGAAGGACAACGGCTCTATGCAAATCTGCAATGGCCATCTTTATCTCTACAAGCTATGGGTGGAATAATAAGATAAATCCAATGGTTCATTAAAATAGTAATTCTTATGTATTTACATATCTAACAATTAAACTTTACTTTTTACATTTATACCACCAAAATTTTTCATATCAGGTAAGAAATACAACTATTTTAACTTTTAAAAAGTGAAATGTATCTTTTATTCTTAAATAAAGTGACAAATATGTAAAAATTAAAGTATATGTATTAGATATGTAAATACATAAGAATTTAAGTGGTATGTATGTAAATGTTCCATTAAAATATTTAAACATAGAATCATCCATTCCGCGAGCCTTGTTCATACAATCATACTGCAATGTCTCATTTGGTGAGAGCTAAGAAAGGATTTGATTAAAGATCAGAATACATCTCTAAATGAATGACCAGTGATTCATTGATTTTGGAAGTCATTGGATATTCAAGATTTCAGCATTAATGTTTTAAACCATTTTTAAGTTGTATAGATTTATAACTATTTGATGATGACGTTTGCAAGTTAGAAATAAAATTTCACCATCAAAATGCATGCATGAATACTGTATGATGATCGAGTTATGTGAAAGATCTATGTTGAATAAATAGCATAATTATAGGATTTATAATTCATGGAAATAAGGGTTTTATCCACAAATCATAGTAAATATTAGAACGCTTCAAATAGCCAAGTCACAGAAGAAAATTTGAACCGGTACTTATCAAAGATTTACAACAAAAATAAAAAAAATATCTTACAATGTTAAACTGCAAAGGAAGATTAACATTTAAAAAATAAATAACTGTAATTTACCTTTACGCAACCGTTGGATCTTAAGCCTGCTCACTTGCAACAACTTCAAAGTTTCATCCACATCATTTGCGCATGGACTAACTTATCTCAAGTCACCCTTGCAGCTTTAGCACTCTTCCTTGACACTAAATCGGTCTAACCTCACAACTCTTGAGCTTGTAAGCACAAAACACTCTTGGAAGAAGGAGAGGGAGAAGTATTGGAAAAAGAAAAACTTAACTAAGAGAGAGTGATTACAACACTTGAATGCTTGGAAACCTTGGATGGTTTTTGGATGGATCCAAATGAGGTTGAGGGATACTTATTCATAGCCCTCTACAAGTCTAAGGCAATCTTCTCGATTACTTAAAATAGTCTAGTTTCTAGATAGTTCTACGCCACTCCCATATTCATATATAGCCCTAGATCTTTCTAGGCTATTCTTGAGTTCTCTTTGAAGCTTTTCCTTCTAATATTCTCTAGAATGCTTTGGAGTCTTCTAAAGTTACTTCGATTGCTCTCATCCATCTGCTCTTTTCTAGAATCTTCCATCCCATAGTTGTCTTGCCAATTTCTTGAAGATGAGGGAGTGAGAGAGCATGGTTAAAATCAGAGTCTAGCATAATATGTTTGTTAAGCATTGTATAGTATCATAAAAAAATAGAATCTAAGAAAACATAAAATACCCTCTTACAAGGTATAAACATAAAAACTTCTTTATTAAAATGCCTTTCCTACTCTAATTACAATTCCGACAATTCATACACTCAAGACCACAAGCACTTAACAGTAACCAAGAACAGCTTACTTGACAAGTAGAACAATCCAATCAGATCGAAATACATCACTTTATTCAAATCCAAACAAATCTCCCATCACAACTGCACTTCGAGAATACCTTCACCCTCACCAGTTCCCCCCTTGGAAGACTGCTTCCAACCTAAACTCACCGCCAAATCCTCCACAGCAACCTTAACCACATCCTTTCTAACTCCAATATCAGTGATGTACCTACCAGCACAGTACATGCCAGCAGTCACAGTTGCCATCCCAACAGGCCCTGCCATTAACAGCTTAAAAGGGCTAGAAAAAATAGCAGCTAATGGAATCCCAACGACTGAAGAAGCCTGCCCGCTCCTTCCTATTCCCTGATCATCAATGGGCAGAAGGCCCGTCTTGCAATAGAGTGCAAAATCCTCACAGTTATTCTCAAACAAGTCGTAATTTCCAAAACCATTCTGAAGGAGGTACATTGCTCGATGGATCACAGTTGTCGGAGGATCGGAGCAAGCGGTTGTACAAGTGCCACCCCGAACTTTAGCGAGAAACATGGGCAGTGGCACTCCATACTCAAAGCAGTAGAGAGATCCTTTGTCCAGAAAGCAGTCGAGGCAAGAGAGGATGACGCTGCTGTCAGGCTGGCGGAATCCACAATCTGGGAAGGTGGGACAGGTTGAAGGGGGCTCTGGTTTTGAACTGGAGGAGATAAATGATGATGAATCACTGCTTGATGATGATGATGTTTCCTTCTTCCTGGTGAAGTGAACCACCTTGTGACCCCCAACATAAATGCCTGTGCATTTAAAATGAATTTGGAAATGAATCAGAATGAATAAATTGATTTGATGTTGGATATAACTGTTAAAAAGTTGATTTTTGGGATGGGTTGTTGCGTTAACTTTGACAATGATTTACAGTTCCACACTACAATATGAAATTAGGGAAATATACTCACCTAGCACACAAATTTTCTATGTTTACATATCTCATACCTAAACTTTCATATTTACATATATAGCACTTTGATGCTTTAAACCTATACATAAAAAGATGTATTCACTTTTTAATAGTGATAATAGTGCTATTTTTTATGTCATATTAAAGATTTGAGTGCTATGTGTGTAGATATGAAATTTCAGTGTGAGGTATGTAAATATTAAAAATTTTGAGCGAAGTCAGGGTCGTTTATCACAATTAAACAAACTTTTGAAGCCATCATCAATCATAATGAGCATGGTCTTACTTTAAGAGTTAACTGCAATCATATTCTAGACTAAACAGATAAATCATGCATAAAGAATACTAAAAATAGAATCCAACCCAGAACAAACATCTGTTTTTTTATTTTCAATTATAATTTACTTATTTATTTTGGATAAAACACATGCTTCAGTAATTTCAAGTAGGTCCCAACTTCCAAATAAAAAATACAGAAGAGATTCATCATTTGTCGAAAGAATAAATAGAAGTTTTAAGGATTCCATAAGCAACATATCATTAAAACCAATCCAAAATGATGGAAAATTAATAAATGATCAAAGCAAATAATTACTTTTTTCATAGACATTGATAATATTACATAAACCTGTGCAATGCATGGAAAAATAAAACAGATGGTCGTTAAGGCTATTATTTATATATAAAAACTACTTAACAATTAATTTAAGGAAGAGAATATAAATTATCATGAATTTTAGAATGATGTTGAAGATGAAATATTCCAATCAAGTACATAAAAGAATGGTATTGCAAGAAAGATATTAAACAATCTATTATTCCTACAAAATATAATTATTAAATTATAAATAATGGATATCCTAATAAATTATTTCAAAGATTGGATTAACTAAGATTAATTGACACCAACATACAGAAATAGCAAAGAACAAATGATGTAAATTTAAATTCAATGCTTATTTGTATCAAAATGTTATATTTGTTTCAGTAGATCAAAGAAGATGTTCAAGTGCTGTATTTACATCAATGGTGAGCACCAGTGAGCCCCTTCATGTAAAGTGATCTTCCATTCATGTAGAATAACAAATATAATTTATCAATCTCACCAAAATACTTGCCAAACTCCAACAACTATTCATGAACTTTTTTCTTCCTTTCGGAGATAAAAATAACACCTTCCAATTTCCATGAAACAGTAAAGATCAAATTAGATCCATATAATTACAGTACCACAAGACTTGGATGCAAGGGAGGTAGAACATATTTAATTAAACACCAAATTAAATTAAACCTCAAAAATTTCAAAATAAAAATTGACCGACGTAGCAAACAAACTAGAGACACAAGAACAAGAGAAAGGTGACGGGATGGTTGAAGGAGAAGTCAAGGGTAATTGGATGCCTTTCAGAGATCCACATGTTTTTGGCTTTCAACTGCCCATGAATCCATATGCCATGCATATCATATACAGATTCAGCAGTCTCATAACCACATATTCATATGATTTTTGGAAGATTTAGATACATACCATCTAATTCATATGTATATTTACATCTAACACAATATGTCAACTTACATATACATGAAAAGGTGCATTTCACATTCTAAAAGTTAAATAGTGGTATTTTTTATGTGATATGAGATATTTGGGTGGAATGTATATGCCAAAATATTTGATCGAATAGGCTGATTGAATTTCTATATTGATGTACAGCTATTTAAAGAGCTTCCCTAGGAACAAAAAAGGCAACTAATCTCCCTAACTAAGGAGAAATATACTATTTAACTACCTACCCTAATATAGAAGAAAATAAATAGTGATTCCTAAGATTACTATTAGAATTCATAACCTCCAAAATATAGAGGATAACAAATATGGTACATAATCACACTTATTTGCGAGATCTTTCAACAGTATATAAACGTCACATAAATTTTTTTTGTTTGAAAGCTTCAAAATTTTGAGAAAATGCACTTAGGAATAATTCATTGTGCTGCTTGCATCTACCTGATGTGTCTTCATAAATATAAATATAGATTAGTTGATAGGAAAAATGTTTTTGTTTTCCTTTTAAAGATTATTCAGCAAACAACCTAGCTCTAAATTTAAAAAAAAATGGCAAACATGAGCTGGTTCGATTTAGAAAACAACTGCAGCACATGGCATTCTAGACCAAATAAAAAAATAAAAAAATAAAACTTTGATCTGATAAAATTGAAGGAGCACATATTAAAAAGGAATAAATTATCAGAAAAAAGTTCCAAAAGAGAAAGCAAGAGAAATGTACGTCTTCCATCTTTTGTCCCCAACCGAATGGCACAATAGATACTTTATCACAAGCACATGAGTCTACAGAAAGCATCAAATTAAAAAAAAGAAGCTAGCTTTCTTATAGACAAGGCAATTCCTCATACATTAACCAAGCAATAAACCACAAAAGAATCCACCAAATGCATCCAAATCCAATTGCCATAGATAAACAGCATCCAATTGAAAAACACCGCGCTCAAACTACTACGAATTCCCATTTCACATAACCTAATAACATCATAAGAAACAAACCGATCCTAGATCTCATAGCGGCCAGATTCTTTTGAAACGAGCATTCCACAGATCAATCCTTCTTTTGTAGTAACATCAAACCTCATTCTGTACGCAGATAATGCGCAATCCCTACACAAGATTTCCTCCGGGAAGAAAGGGAAGAGACATTTCTAAGAGACAATAGGAAGATTGTGAGAGGGAAGGAGAACAGAGAGGGCAAACGAACCGTGATGGGAGTAGGTGTAGAGAGCTCTCCAAGTGTAGATGTGGTCTCCCGCCTTCATCTCCGATCTGTCCAACCTGCAGGAGAGGAGGCCCATCTCTCTCTTCCTCACTCTCTCTGTCTCTGTTCTCTCTCGTGAGGTTCAGAGCATCCGGACATTTAAAAAATATATAATTTGATTAATACGTTGCCGAAAAATTTGTAGATCTACGGATACCCTCTTTTTTCCCGAGGTAACGTTGCCTGCTTGGGGAGGAGGGTGACAAAGGAGGTATTAAGAGGCCAAGGAAAGAACAAATAAAGAGTGTGAGTATCAATGGTGATGCATGCGAGAAAGTTAACTAAGTTAAGAGTAATAAATTATTTTTTTAGCCTTAATAAATTTTTACTTGAAAAATTTATAAAGAAAAAGGATCATAAGTCTGACCCAATCATAAAAATTTATTATAAGTTGATAATTACAAAAATTCATTGTCTCACAGGTGAGAAGGATTACAAAGTCTTTTGAATTACAATGTCGACGAGTGAATAAACTTATTGTAAAAAGTAAGTGGCAGACAATGACGATTGGCGGAGGCTGGCAGGTGGTGGTCGATGGCTGTCAGTAGTGGTCGACGATGGTTGACGAAGGCAGTGATTGACGGTGGTCGGCGACGGCAGGAGTGGTGTTGAAATTCAGCTTCTTCTCAAAGCTTTAAGTTCTCTCTCAAGTCTCAAGTTCTATTCTCTCTCAAGATATGGTTGAGACTCTATTTATAGTGTTATGAGTACAATTAATGCAGAAATATGAACCAATTCTGTAGAGCTTCTTTCAATCAAACACCATTTGATAGATATTTTAGTGCATTAATAGTGTTGAATTTGAGCGATCTTGTACCCGTTGAATTCGTTTTGTCGAGACGTTTAATTCGACTATAGACTTGCTACATTCGACGTTCGTTCAACTTTCTAAATATGTTCGAAAAACTTTCAATAGTGGTTTAATGACTTGATCTGAGCTTGATTTGAACCAGATTGGAGTCATTTTGATATCATCAGACTTGTCTCAATGAGTCAGTCCGTTCGACTATAAGTTTGCTGAAATTAGAACTCCGAATGACTTTTTATCAAGATTTCAATATTTTTTTCTCAAAAAATTGTCTCGAAATTCATATCATGCCGCGAGATTTATGTCTCGTTGATGGCGTATCAACTGGTGAAACAATTAATTTTGCTCACTATAATTAAACATATTTGCATGTTATTTTTATTTTATAAAGTATATTACAAAGTTTATTTTGACCAAAAACTTCTTTGTTGTTGACCTCACATAACATAAGTTCAAATAAAATTCAAATGACATATGATTTTTTTTTTTTGGGTCTTATTTGAATTTTATCCAAATCATGATTACATAATGCTCAAATCATGATCGAACAAATGCATCCTGCTGTGTTTAGGGTTGTTTTAACATAACTAATTACTATCACAAATAGATATTTGATTAAAAACAGATCATCAGGAAGTGTCCACAAATCCTCATGGTAAAAGTATGAATATAAAGACCACATTTTTTTTTGGAGGGGGTTTAGGGTAGTATTCAATAGATTGAGCCAATCAAACACTCATTTCTTGACGAGGATCGAGCCAAACACTTTGCATACTATCACAATATTTCATTATTTTTTTTCCTTTATTTTTGATCTTCCAATCAATCAAACGAAAAAAGATAGTGATGTGCATGTCAAGTGGCTCATAAATGGATATGTATATATGTCCACATTTAAATAATGATCTTCGTTTCAACATTTGGTTGATCATGAAGGATAGTTGTTGAGAGTTTGGCATGTCAGTTCGGCAAGTGAGACTGTCATGTCACTCTTGTAAGTGAGATTACAATGTGATCTATGTGTTCTTAGAAGGTGGGCTTTGTTGGGTAATGTGGAGACCCGGTCCATCGAATTTAATTAGCTTCTTAATTAAATATTTCATATCCCATCTACCGCTCACTTGCCTCCCACCTACCACATCTCACCTACTGCCCACCTAATTTCCACCTACTTCCCACCTATCTCTCTCATGGTTTTTATAAATAACCCTTTTGGTTTAAAGAAAAAGCTAAGCCTCAAGTCAAGCGAAGCCAAATAAGATCAAACCAAGTCATCTTGAGAGCTAAGAGAAAGAAAGGAAGAGAGAGAGGGGAAGTAAAAAAAGAAATTAGAGATTTTTCTTATAAACGTCAAGTGCTGCACTCGACGGTGTATTTTTTCGAAGAAATAAATCCTCTGTAGCTCCGTGGATGTAGGCAAATTTGTCGAACCACGTAAATTTGTGTGTCGCTCTG